GAGGCGGAGGACGGGGGGAGGTGACTCTAAAACGGCCTACAAAACTACAGCTACAGCGCGAACATCGCGTGTCGCATGCAAGAAAATGACAGTAACGAGCAGGGAAATAAAAGCAAGCCCCTCCCCTCCCCAGCCCACCCTGCGTGAAAAACAAAGTGGGGGCTATACGAAATGCAAACCAAACGAAATTGCTGCAAAATGCAGGCACTTTGCACTTTTGTGCGCTGTTAAAACAAAACTTAAATTAAAACCCAAACCCAAGCCCAAGCCCAACTCCAACCAAACCGAAAATCAACATTTTCGGGCTGGTGCTATTCAAATAGTGCCAGGCCATTTATTACCCCGAAAACTGACTTGGATTTTAAAGCCAGTCAGCAAATCACTTAAATCTCTCTCCTTCCCCCTTTTCTCTCGTTCTCTCGCTCTCTGTGCAAAAGTCGTGGCAAACTTAAAGCCATCTCAGTCGGAGCAAATCGCATGATAAATGTTTTCAAACGCTTTTACGCTCAGCTTAATTGATTTGTTAGAGTCATATTCGCTTTTTAAGCTGCTTTGCAACATCTGCAGAAATCAAATACTCGAGCTACATTTAGAGTTTTTGGTATGAATTGGGCTGTTTTCGGGTTTGTAACTGCCTTTTTCGGGATTTTTTAAAGAGCGCATTTTTATGGCAAAGCGTTTCTCATCCATAAAAAGACAGCTCATATTCGTTGACTTTACTTGAGGGGTTTTATTCCTAATTTCATGCATTCCTTGATATTTTTTATTATATTTTATTCCAAATTATTCCTGCATTTCTTGCAAATTTTCAGATTTCCAATTTATTTCCCAACTATTACTGCATTCTCTTTATTTTACCTATTTTTTTATCATCGGTATAGCCATTCACAACTGTCTGTTTCAATGTCTCTCGTCATGAAGCTTGACCTAGGCTCGCCTCTATTTTATTGGCCAGATCGGATCACAATATCTTGTAGCTGGTATTCGAATAATCTGTCCAAATTTGAGCACGTCCATTCAAGACGATGCGCTTTTTTGCTTATCAAGATAGCTAAGCCAAGCTGGACATTCATTGAAAGGTTACAAAAAATGATCCAATTCTTAAGGAGATCGGTTTACTATATCATTTACCAGCCAACGGTAAGAATCAGTCGAAAATTAAACTCTTTTATAAAAATCGTTATTGCCTATAATTATAGCTTGGTAGCCTTTCATCACATTTAACCCAAATCTCAACAAGATCTTTTAACTATATAATCGCAGGGAAGAATCAGTCAGAAATAAGTTTTGAAAGGGAACAATTTTCAGTGTTTTTTTTTTAGATATCTTGTCTTAGCTCAGCATTTACGCGCTTCACAATTCTGTTTGCCGAACTGCAAAGCTGTCAGCCATATGAAGGGTATTTAATCTTCGGCGTGCCGTAGCTGGCCGTTCTAGCTTCTTTCTCTATGTTAATCAATTATTTCGTTGGGAGCATTTAAATGTCCGCATCAAGTACAGAAGCTGTGACATGTGTAACATAGCTGAAATCAAATAATATATAGAGTATAGCCAACTGATTCAATCTGATGTTGTTGTTGTTGTTGTTGGTGGTTTTTTGTAGACTTTGCGGTTTGCATTGTATATTTAATAAAATCGTTTGCATTTCTTATGTGTTGCTAAGTGTCAGCGGGCATCTAATTTGATTTATGACCCGCAAAGTTATGCCCCAATAATATCGAGAGATAAACTTTTTCAGCTGCCAGTGTGTCGTCTTTTTTTTTTCTGCTTCTTCCGCTGCTCATTGCTGATGTTGTTTTTGTTGTTGTTGTTGTTGCTGTTGTTGTTTATCTGGGTTAGGCTAACGACAACGATGACTAAGGCCTTTTTAAATGTTAAGAGTTGTCATTGTTTTTGCCAAAGTTGCGTGAATACCAATCATAATTTATTCACGTGTGTGGGTGGCTGGGCATATATACTATATACATATATGTATGTATATGTACTATATCTATCATGACACATACGTGTACATACAATTTATTACAGTCTAACCCCCCGCCCCCTCTCGCACGCCGCGCCTCTGCGCAGTGAGGCAGCAAATATTCATCGGATTGGCACCAATCGGTTGCCTTGGAGGCAGGACATTCTAGAAATTTGTCAAGCATAATACCTGATAATCAATTGACTAACAGCACTAACTGAATAATGAATCATTTGCTAGTGTATATGTATGTGTGTGCGTGTGCGTGTGCGTCAGTGTGACTATCAATCAAAATGGCTGCCAACGCTTGCTAATTAGCAAATTAAAAATGTTACAAGGTTTTTTGGTGCACACTGTTTGGTTCTAGCTGCCGCATTTAAAATGTTGATTTTTGTGCAGCACGAAAAACTCATTAGTAATTAAATATTTTCCGACGCAGCGACAATGTCCCGTAGTTTTCTTAACGCTTGTTCTTCCTGTCGTCGTCGTCGTCGTCGTGTTCGCACAGTCGGAACTTCCGCACTTCCGTTCGAGCGCTGCGTCTGCTGCTGGCACACACAGCGTATACGCAATTTTCTCGTTGTTGTTGTCGTTGTTGTTGTTGCTGTTGTTTTCTTTTCGGGCTTGTGCGTACATATTAAGGCCGTAAACAAGTGTACGGCTACGAGTCGGACGGCGGCGCCTGGGCTGTTGCCTGTTCTGGGCCGTAGCCCTGAGCATGATTTGTTACTGACAGCGTCTCAGGCAGAGGCTCCAGTTCTAGGGAGAGTCTGAGTTTGATTTATTTCACGCTGTACAATTTATGAGTGAAGGTGAAGCAGCAGCAGGAGCTGCATTTCATTGAGCTGAGACTATGGCCCAATGGGTTACACACTCGCACACACACACACACACACACACACACACACACATTCATATATCTATATAAAATATGTGTGTTACTTGGGCCTTGTCAGCGCGCCTGGCTGCAGATACGCAAAATATTCCCAAAAGACTTCAGATGCCTTTGGGCCAACAAACACAGCATGTTAACCGGGCCAACAACAACTGCTGGGCCCATCTTCCATTCCAGCCTGCGCTTGGCTGGCCATTATGATGGATGCGGTGGCTGTGCTTAGCGTTATATGCTGCCATTTTGCTTTACTGTACCATTAGCACTGGCACTTGACGGCTTTTATTTCAATTAGTATCGGCTCAAGCAAAATGCCAGCGCATGCCACAATCAGCTTAAACGCTGCGCAAGTGTTGCCTACTTTGCAGCGCTACAGCAGCCCTTTTTCCACCCGCCAACCGACCACGCCCACTGCCATTGTGCTGCCTACTTAGCGGCTTCTTTTTTGGAACAACGCGCAACTTCTTGACTTTGGTATTCCGAATAACAGCACAAGCCACAAACGCATTTTGCGGCCACTTAGTGCTGCAACTGCTGCAAGTACTTCAAGTCGGATTAAAATTTAACTTTCAGATTTTTTTTTTTAAAACAGCCCCTATTGACGTGTGCCCCGAAAGTTAGTTAGCTTATCCAAGAAAATTCTATGTCCTTTTCAAACCTACGCTGTAAAAGAGTTTTTCCTTGGCAATACTATGTATGAAAATAATTATATAAATAATAAATATAACACAACTAGCGGGCATACCTCAACCTTGCCGTGGCACTCCCAAAATAATTTCTCTCAAAGATCTTTGAAAATTAGTTTAAAACCAATACAATACCAATATACATTAAGTTCTTATGCTTGAAGCAAATCGGACAAAACTTTAAACTCCACGAAACAAATCCTCGAACCGCATTTTCCACCGAGAAAGCTTTGAAGTTGCGAAAAATGTGAAACACGTCTGATTTTTCATATACACCCCTCAAATAAATTTAAATAAAAATTTTTGAAATTGAGTTTGAGGCCATGCGGGTTAAATTTCCAATCACCAATCAGTCAGTCAGTCTGTCTGTCTGTCTGTCAGTCAGTCAGGACAAACAGATTTATATATAGAGATAATAATATGAGTCTTAGAACATTTAAATCTACGTGAATTATTTTTTTTTTATTTCTTTACTTACGTATGTCGTCGAAAATCTGAGCTCAGGCCTAAAAGTGATTTCTTGGAGCAAGGAACGTGAAAGTGAAATAATAAAAAAGAATATCTTCTCAATCCATTATGGAGAAAGTAGAGCAGTTCTTCGCCTTAGTTAAACTTATTGAAATTATTCAAATATCTGAAATAAATATAGAAAATAAAACAAAGGAAAATTAAATAAAATAAAATAATAAACACAAATATAAATAGTGTATTTATAAATAATTTCTATCAAATAAGTTCCTAAGATTGTTTTCTCAAATAATTTGAGCATTCACTTGCTTAATTTTGATTTCATCAAACATTTTAAAGCCCCTATTAAATAATAATAAATATTAATATAAACTTAAGAAATAAAAAAAAAGGGAATAAGCAACTATGAAAAATATATCAACTTTCATAGGTTTTCAATGAATCACATTTTTTTAATCAACCATCTGAAATGAAATGGCATCATACAAATATATATTTTTTTTTATGGCAGCAACTTTTAGTAATCCTTAAATTCGGTCGAAAAAATTATGGCGAATTTAATGCAATGCAAATGAATCTACATATATGGATAAATAATATTGGAAATTCAATGATTTCGCTACCGAGTTGCTCTTTTATCAATTACCGAGCAATTGCAAAGTGTTGTCAAATCTGCGCCGGAGGCTCTGCCCAAATCGACCATTCAATTCGCTCGTATATGTGTGGGGAGTGCAGGGCGTACAGGTGCGCGGAGACCTTTATCGTTTTTCAATTACCGCCAGAGCGCGCGCGTCTCCCCCTCCCTACCCCCCTATACGACCCTTGCGCAACAAAGTGCAATTAAGCCGCATAATCTCAGACATAGCCTGGGGGGCAATCTATGGCGGAAAGTCAGTGTCGTAAATGTTGTTCAATTGCTCGGAAACGGGTGGAAGATGGGTGGGAATCGGGAATTTCGGGTTCATGCACATATTCATATTGCCATTAATCATGTGTTTTTTTTTTAAATTTAATTTTGCACTCGCAGTGGCACAATTAATCATAATTAATCTAGATGACAGTTAGTATAGCAATGCCTATATGCGTGTGTTTGTGTGTGTGTGTGTTTACATATGTTGTGCACACCTTCAATTTGTATTTGACGGGCGCGACACTTTAACATGGTTCTTGTCACTTGTTAATTAAGATTAAACATATATGTATTTACATTATTTTGCTATTTTTCGATATTTCGATTTTTCGATTATTCGATTTAATGTTTTCATTTTCGTTTTACTTGGCTTAGGGCTAGTCGATTGCACGATTTAAAGATGTATCGATGAATCGATTTATCGATTTTAATTATTTGTTGTTATTTTTACTTAACTACGTATAAAAATACTTAAAGCTGCCTAAATGAAAAGCCCAATTCGATTTACAATATATACACAGATGCGTCTCTACCTCCTATATACAGCGCTTGCATGTTGGGCCGTGTGGGCGTGGCATCAGCATCCCTTCGGGTCAACAGTGCTGTAAAGTGGGCAATGAAATCAATTGCGAGCGTTCCCCAAAGAGCTGTCGCAACGCAACTTACCCCTGTGCCCACGCACCCCACCGTCCCAGGGCAACGCCAAAGCAGACATCAAACATAAGTTGCGGCTCAGAGCCTAGAAGAAGGCCAGCTGGCGTAGGGGGCGGTGTGGCATATGCTGCAGCAGGAGGAGCAGGCCAAGCAGCAGCCACAGGCTCGGGCCTCCAGCCTCCAGTCTAATGCCCAGCTCATGCTGCATGGCCGCGTGCTGTTCGCTCTTAATGATATGCACAAAGACGCTGTCGGAGTCTGCAGCGAGAAGAAATGGGCGTGGTAGATGAATCATGGGCGTGTGTAAGTGTGTGTGTGTGCGAGTGTGTGAGTGTGTGAGTGTGAGGTCAGCTAGCACTCACTTGAGTTATCCGCGGAGCACGTGTAATTGCCGGAATCCGTGTGCAATACACGGGATATAACCAAATTGCTCGTCTTGATTTGCTGCTCGGAGATGACGCGTATGCCGCCGCGCGTCGAATCACTCACCAGTTCGGTGTCCTTGTACCAGAGCATGTGTGTGTAGGGTCCTGGCGCCTGGGGTGCTATGCATGTCAAATTGATGTCGCTGCCGCTTTGGATGAACAGTTCGCGATTGGCCAGGATTTGTGCCTTGGACGCTGTCAATAGATCGCAAAGGTTATGTCAATTACAAACAGTTGGCAGCTCTGGGTTCCATTCCGTGTGTTTCCCTCCCTTTTTTTCTTGGTTTTTTTTTTTAGTACCCAAAACTCATTAGCATTTGCTGCTGCTTCTTGTTGGCACTCGCACCTGACGCTCAGCACAGCTCGTTAAACTAATGCACGTGCCCTTCCCCCCCAACCACTCTATTCCTCTGTGCCCTGCCCCCCTTCAATGCTCTGCAGCTGTTTGCCATCCCAATTTGAATGTAAAAGTTTCTCTTTTTCAAGTATTAAATGCTAGTTTATGTTGTCAAATAAGTTTTCAGCATGATGAGTTTTGAAAAATCGTAACTGAATTTCAACTAAACTGCAACTTTTAGCCAGAATTCAAGTTGTGTTAATAATAACTAAACTATTACAAACTTATAAATGAATTATATATATATTTCTGTTTATTTTAATTCATTTTTTAATATTTCTGTTTCCCATTTTAATTTGGATTTGGATTTGGATGTGGCCTTTGCCGTATTTTGACCCAGTTTCGTTTTTATTCTACTCTTAATTTGCTTTTTTCTCCATTCTCCGCCTGATTGTCTGTCTCCTGACATAACCTCACACATTTACTTTTTTTTTATTATTTCTTTCGCGGCTTTTTTCTGTTTTCTGCTTCTTCTTGTGTACACAATTAGTTTCTTTTATATCTCATTAACACTTTTCCCTGTCAGCACGATTTCACTCATTCTTTACTCCTTCCTTAAACAATAGTTAATCTTGGGATTTTTGTTTTTGATTCTTGTTTATTCTCAGATAAACAATAAATGTTGCCATATAAAATGATCGAAAATAAACAAATTAATTTGCTTTTAGTTGGTTACAGTTAAACAAGTTTTTTCTTACAAAAATGTATAAAGTATTCGCTTGGCATTTAAATAAAAAATTATGTAAATATATATTTTTAATATTAAATAAACAATGATATAAGCGCTAACCAATAGTTGGTATCAAAGTTTTCCGCCCATTTTAAAGTTGCGTATGGAATTTATCAAGTCGCGTATTTAAGTTTTCTGTAGAGCTTTGAAAAAATATTGTTAGTCGTTCGAACGAAATGTAAAACTTCACCCAAAAGTTTAAAATACGTCTCAAATAATTTTGTATTAAGATCTTTGCAAATGAGTTTGACTTCGAAACTTCACCTAACAAAACTTTGACCCATATTTCCACCAAGTAAAGCTGCATTTTTTGAAAAGCTTGAAACACCTACCCGTCAAATAAATTTACAGAAAGCGCATTGAAAATGAATATGATGCCGATAGGATGGTTAACAAAAATGCAGCCGATTACCGTGATTTTTCCACACTTGCGCGTGGAATTTAACAAATTCCCGTCTGTGTGTTGAACGCTAATTATTCAGAACAAACTGTTTTTTTAACTAACAAACATCAAGGTGGAACAAGTAAGAGGTTCTTGTCGGGGGCGCCCGACTGTGTGTGTGTACATGTATACAGTAATTCTTGGAATTTGCGCTAGCTGCTGCTAACACGTGCGCACATAACTTTTGTGTTTCTTAACCGATCTTAATGAAATTTTCGACAGTACATCTTATTGTAGAATAGAATATAGAATACTTGTGTGTGTGTGTTAAAAAGTCAATTGCATATAAATTGTGGCTTAAATTGATGGGCAATACAAGTTGGATAATTAACTTGATTTATAGCTTTTCGGTGGTAGCGGGAGGTGGCGATAGGTATAAAATGAAAGATACTTGATATATATATACTATTCTAGAAGCTACATGTCAAGTTAGGTGACTCTAGCTCATATTATTTGCCGAAATTGCTCAAAAAACAGGATTTCGATATCGATTTTTATCGATTACTTGGAAACGGGGCAAGTTATCGAATATCGGAAACAAACTCGATCTGCGCGGGCAAGTCTCTTTCAAGTCTCTAGCTCTTATAGGTTCTGAGATCCTTGCGTTCATACATACGGACGGACGGACAGACGAATAGACAGAAGGACATGGCTAGATCGACTCGGCTATTGATGCTGATCAAGAATATAAATACTTTATGGGCTCGGAGATGCTTCCTTCTGCCTGTTACATACATTTGCACAAAAAAACATTATACCCATTTTCAATGGTTTCAGGGTATAAAAACCAAAAAGTTAGCCGATTGTCCGTTATAATAATCTTCCGATTCTGTTAATTGCAGCCTCTGCTTGTTGCCCTTTTGGCGCTATAAATCTTTGAGAATTACAAGCGTTAAGCAATGAAAACTGTAAGGCAAGCAAAGTCAAAGTTCTCTTTGAACGTGTCTTTATTTTTTGGCTAGCAAAAACTGTTTTTGTAGACTTAAACTTATTTTATATTTTTCATTATATGTATTGTTCTATATGAGCAGGAAAGTCCTGAAAATGTCGCACAATTATGTATTTAAACAAAACAAATGTGTTTTAAAATTAATTGATAATATCCTTTGGCTAGTTTCCTTTAAATAACAAACTGTAAGCCCCAAAAGAATTTGGAAAAGGAATTGAAAATAAATAAGTAAGGGGCTCTCGTCGGAAGCTCCCGACTAGGGGATACCCTGACACCAAATGCAACACTAAATGCAGCTCGCGCTACGCGCTCGTTTGTGTTAGCTGTCCCAAACTCGTGGCCAGTCAAATCACGTTTTCTTAACCGATCTTGATGAAATTTTCCACAGTAGACCTTATTTTACTATAGAATATTTGTATAATATCGAAAAGCCAATTGCATTTAAATTGTGGCTTATGTAGGTGGGCAGTATAAATTTAATTATTTATTTGATTTATATCTATGAGGTAGTAACGAGGTGCTATAAAATGAAAGATACTTTATATATATGTATATACTATTCTAGAAGCTAAATGTCTAGTTTGGTGACTCTAGCTCTTATAATTTACCAAAATTTCTCAAAAAACAGGATTCGATATCGATTTCTATCGATTACTTGGAAACGGGGTAAGTTATCGAATATTGGAAAGAAACTCATTCGGCGGGCACTAAAAGGACCTACAGCTAAATTTTCTCTAGCTCTTAAAGGTTCTGAGATCCTTGGGTTCATATATACGGAGAGACAGACGGACATGGCTAGATCGACTCGGCTGTTGATGCTGATCCAGAATATATAGACCTTATGCGGCCGGAGATGCTTCCTTCTGACTGTTACATACATTTGCACAAATACATTATAGCCTTTTTACCCATTTACAAGGGGTCAGGGTATAAAAAAAAATTGATTGCAAATGAACTTATCTAGAAGTTGTATACCTTTACCCAATATACAAGCCCATTTTGTTGCCCGATACTTACTCACAACCATCAATTTGTAGGCGAGACTTATTTTTGGCTCCGTGGAGACCTGGCACTCATAGACGCCGGCATCGCGCGGCTGCACCGAGACGACCTTGAGCACCCACTCGTCGGAGTTGTCAATGTGCCGGGCCAGAAAGCGTTGATCGTTGGTGTAGGTCATGATGCCGATGGTGAGTATATGGAGATCCCGCTGCCGGATCCAGGAGACGGCACGATCGCCCAGATTACGTACGCGACAATGCATGCGAGCTGTCGTGCCCAAGGCAGCGATTATTTCACGCTCCGAGCTATTATCGAACTGCGGCTCGTACTCCTCCGGTATCAGATTGGAGAGCTCCGTGGCCAAAGCTGTGGATGGCAGTGATAGCATATAAAGAACTTGGCTTACAATGTGGTCTAAGGCCAGCGTCAATAAACGCTTGTCAAGTGTGGTTACAGACTACAATGCGAGACTTGTCGCACTCAATCATGCACACACACATACACACACTCACACATGCTACCACACACGCACTTGAAAAGGGTATTAAATAACTGTATCTAAATGTCAATCTTAATGTATTCATGTGCATTTATATTCAACATCAACGTCTACGTTTCTATCCAAATCGCATGAAGGGCAAACACTTGGCTACATGTTGCAAGAGACAGCTCGGCAAATGGATATGAATGAGTGCGAATGATTGTGAGTGTGAGTGAATGGCCAGACAGTATACGAATCAACATTCATTTGATTAACGAGTATTTGTGCTTAATTTATGCCAAAGTTTGCCTTCTTATTGGCATATCAACTGAATACTATATATGTATGTGGCCATGGCTAAAAAGCATTCGTATTATGATCCATCATTGGGGCCCGCACTTGAGGCGAGTGATTTATGTGGAGGCCGCTTTATCAACATCGTGTATTAGCCAACTAATGCGCTAATAATCCACGAGTGCCTAAACAAATACAAATACAAACACACAAACACACTGTGTGTGTGACTGCCAAACATACATTATGCTGCTCATACGCATGTATTTGTATTGATTTATAGGCACGCCCATTAGCCCTTGTGGGGGGGGGGCTATCAAATATCGAGCAATAAAATGCCGTTAAACACTTAATTGAAACTGTTGCTATTCGCTTCCGCCCGCAGGCTTCACGTTTGCCCGCCAAACATTAAACAAATGAAATTGCTTTCTGTATGCTGCACAGCTGAAAAAATCACACACACACACACATTCGCACACACACAGGCACCGTAAAAAAACATAAAAATATTTGTATATTTTTTTTAATAAAAGTTTTGAATTTACATGCAAAGTGCGCGGCTCCGTTCAAAAGTAACCGGAGCCCAGTTTTTTTTTTTTGTTTTTTTTAAACTGTTCAGTTTAACCGCAGCTCGCCCGTAACATGCCCCTCCTCCCCCTTACGCTCACATGTGAGCACTAAAACTGAGGCCAGGTGCCATAAATACGAAATGAGAAATTGCATTTGCTTTACCTGCCTCAAAAAACGAAGAAGAAAAAAGATACAAAAAGTTTATACAAATAAACACCCGCATGAGCAGCTCTTCTCTCCCTTCTTTTTTTTGGGTCTAGCGAATGAGTAGTTGGATATAAAATATAACTATTTATTGGTGTATTATTCCGTGCGGACGTTCGGCCTTCAAATATTCATATGCATACTTATTCATATTCATATTTGTTCATGTACAATATTAAAGTGAAATTCAACAAGGCTGTTGATTGGCTCAGTTATCGTTTGATCAATTAAAATGAGCTAGTGCCGGACCTGAAGATGAGCTCATAACATAACGAATCATTTATCAAGTGTACGGAACGGAAAGCTTTACATATTTATTATAAATTTAATTCGCCTTAAGACTTGAAATTTAGTTTCTTCAATATTGTAGAGCAGCTTATATAAACTGCAGCTAATAAAGCTGATCAATTATCCAGAAGCTCCTTTGTTCCGGAACTAGTGAGCCGAAACTGAGAGCTCAGTGGTTGATTGATTAAATAAACTTAGTTCCGGAATCAGTAAAAGGAAACTAAACGCTCAGTAGTAGTAGTAGTAGCTCGCAAATTGTGAACTGATTTGGTTTCAGTTAAAATGTATTTTTGAGTTGGTTTAATGATCAGATTAAAGCTCACAACACCAAATTATCTATAGTTCAGTCAAACGGAAAATGTTCGGCAATTAATCAATGTGAAAAACCAAAGCTGCTTTAGCCTTTAATAAAAAAAAAGAGAAATCACTTAGTTCAATAGCTTCAAGCTAGCTAAAAGCTCAGAAATTTTTCAGTTCTTAAATTAAGAGTTAATTGGCTTGACGCTTCATTATAATATTGTACAAATCTTGCTAGCAACGCTTTAAGTTTTATAACAGCTCACGTTTGAATGATTTAGCTAGTTTAATTGATTTCCCAATTTCTTAACTTTATTTTCAGAGCTCACCTAAGCTTATTTTACTGTATTACTCTCTACAGCTGCTGTGCGGGAATACAGAATCAACGTAAATCAATAGAAAAATGAATATTCTAAATTGTTTAGTTATTTGGATCATTTTGATTGCCCCGGAATTCTTAATTAAATCACATGCAAAATTCTGAGCATTTTTCAATATTCATTCTCTGCTTAATTAATTTAAGTGAGGCAAGGCAGACAAAACGATCTGGCAGCTCTAAAAATTAGCATGTGCCTGTTAAGTTGGCTGCGGTTAAGCATTCGAACCGAAAGAAAGGCTTGCTGTATGCTTAAATTGTGCTGTGTACAACTACTGAAATAAATAGTAATAATATGATTTTCAAGTCCAAATTATTCTAAGTTTATTCCTAATGACAAATTTGTATCCATTTGGTAGAACTTCTTCAATTGCAAAACTATTTTCAATTTCTCACGACAAACTTGCAAGTTTTATTGATGAAATTTGGAACTGGTTGCATTTGCTGATGGTCTTGGGTACTTACCAAAGTGTTGCATGTGGCTGGTGATGCGGCTTGTGTGCTTATCGAATGTTGTGGTTAATCCCATGATCACAAGCATCGCCATAAAGTATTCCAACAACATTTCATGCGCAATTTGTGACGCTATTAAATTATAACTGCAACCAAAGACGACAACAGCAAAAAGTAATTAAAATAAATGATGGCAATCGCAAAACTCGAGACAAAGACACTCTGCCAGCGACTTAAATGAGTCAACGCCATATTGTTTTTGCCAGCCGCCGACCGCCAACAACCAACAGCCAACCGCCAACCGCCATGCTCAATTTATAAGGACACTGGACTCGCCGGGGAAGACAGGGCGCGGCGCAACCGCGGCGGAAGGGATTAGATTTTGAGTCCTAAGTCTTAAGTCTTATCGGAGACTGAGTCAGAGACGGGCGCACATTCATTTCAAATGATGACAAGTCCGCAATGCGGTTGAGTTTTCAATCACCATGACGGCCGCTGGGCAAGCGCGGGGGGTGCGGTGGGCGGGGGGGCGGTAGAGCAGCAGTTGGGGTGCGGTGATTGTGCCAAAGTTAAGCAATTTCTTCATTACGCACTAAGCTGCTGAGAAATTGATGGACGTTTACTTTTTGGGTGCCTGTGGCTATAATTTCGGTCTGGTCACGTTTTACTAATACACTTAATTGTACGAGTACTCAAACTCAATAGAGACACTCATGAGTATTCATGAGTATTGGCAGACGCTTTTGCTGGTATTCGAATCTGTGTTTATGTGTGTGTGTGTGTGGCAGACGCACCTTTTTGCGTAGGACTAGAGAAATTTGTTGTCGATGCGTTTGGATTCAATGTAGCGCGAATTGCGTGCCGCCATTTCATGCGTCGCGTAACGCATTCGAGCGCGTCGCGTTACGTGTTACGTGTTACGTAGCGCGTTTCACGTATTTGCCGTTGCCTCTTTTCGAACTTTACGTCACAACAAAATTGCGACACTCGTTAATCTAACGAGCGGCACGACCACCGTCACGTGTTTCGTGCTGCGTGTTGCTTCGTGTTCAACTCGTGACCGAATCACAGCCAGTCACAGTGAGTCACCGGGTCACGTTTGCAGTACTCTGTGCGTGCACCGCGTTCCGACAGGCTTGAGACGCGCTAAACAACTGAATTCAATGTGAAAACTAACCTACGCAAAGAGTGGTAATTGCAAATGTTCTTTGCTCCGGCGCAGGCGCTCTGCTGCCCATGTGGCAGCAACATGTTGCAGCAACATTTATTGTAAGCGTAATTTAATTGTAACATATACCATTTGGCGATTGCTGTGTAGGTGTAACACACACACACACGCACGTACGCATCTATTGGAATTTCAAGCATCTTTGCTGTGGGGGAAAGTGCTTATGAAATATTTAACAAGGCTTTGAACATAGCGCCAAAAACACATACAAAATCTCGTTTGATTTGTGTCAGGCAACAACAACAGCAACATGAGCAACAACAATGGGTACAATAAGGAACAAGCGCAACAATTGAAGTAGAAACAGGAACAACATTAATAAAAAGGCAAAAACTCATGCATGACAGGGCGCGTTTTACAAGTTTTGTCAGGGCGCGTCTCAATTGAAAACGGAAAATACACACTCACACTAACACACACAGACACATACGCACACACCGTGACCCATTATGTTAGAGCGGAAACGGATATGAAGCCTGTCGCAGCTGGGTGGCAACTCTCTGCAAGCGCCTTATCAAAATCGATGGGGCAACATATGGTTGATTTTAATTTTCTAGCACACAGACAACGGCAATGCCAGCGACACCAACACACACACACACACACACACACACACACACACACACACACACACACACACACACACACACACACACACACACACACACACACACACACACACACACACACACACACACACACACACACACACACACACACACACACACACACACACACACACACACACACACACACTATATATACACACACACACATATACACCAACACACACGCACACACGCGCACATGCAAATTCGTTTAACATATTTTCTTTGGAAATTGAATTTTCAAAGTTATTATAAATATTTTTGTCAGACAAATGCAATTTCAATGGAATTTTCACATTTTACCTACGCGCATTTTTTGCTAATACAAAAACAGAGAAGAAAAATTGAGAAAAACAAATCATCAAATAGCCGAAAAATTGTCGCCCAGCTGACTCTTAAGCATAATACTTACGACCTGCTTCTGCTCCCCCCCGTTCTTTCCACCCAATACCCAATACCCCAATACACTAGCCTGCTTGGCATCTATTATTTTACACTAACAAGACAAAACATTCCTCAACTAAGCGGCGACATTTTACCCAGAGCTCAAGCCCCCACAACCTTCTCGTAACAAACACAACCCCCCTCTCCTACAACCAAACAGCACCCCACCCATTCGCCGCGCAACACATCGCTCAATGCTCTAAGTGAATTTTTATGCACAAGTGGGTTGCTTTACTTGTTGGGGCTTCCGCTTTAGGTCTGGGGGGAGCGGAAAAGTATTTCTCGAATAAAATGTTAAATATTTCAACGAAACATACTTTTCTATCGAGCTAAAATAAATTATTATTTAGTGTAATTTAAAAAGTCGCAGTAATTTTTAAAGTCGCAGTTGATTCTATTTTTGGATTTAAGCGTTGCTGTAAATATTCGCAAAATAGAATAGTTATTAAATTTCAAATAATTTGAAAAAATTTAAGCTGTGTAATTAAAAGTTACGCAAATTCCAAAGCTCTAAAACGTTTACGATTCCTGCACATTTATTTTGCAGAGTTGCGCAATAAACAATTTTATACTTTTTACATAATTAATATTATGTGATATTATGTGCTGTTCATTAGCTTATAATCAGACAAACTAATTATTTGTGCACATTTTAAATGTTCACCTAATTCTTCCCAAATGCGCACTTACAGATAACCAATGGGCCGCTTCCTCCCCAGAACTAAGTAGCCAGGAATGATATAAGACCTATTATAAAGAACGAGATAGATGGCAAAAGCTTGTTCTGGCCCATTGCTTTGTGAGCAAGCAATATATTTTAACTTGGTAAAAAAAATATCAAGGTATAAAAAAACAAAATAATTTATTAGCATGGCGCGTAATAGATATTTTGTAAGATTTTCTACTCGAAGGACACGGCTGAGAAAGAAAAGAAAAACAACTTAAAATCGATAGGCGCTGTTAAATTTAATACTACTTACAATAAATATTCCTTCTAATGTGAGAAATAAAATATATTATAAAATATATTACTTGACTCGAAAATAAATAAAAAGTATAATAGAATAAAAAATATAAATGATTTTATTATCCTCCACACTTAGTTTAAGTGGGGTATGTACTTATAAATTATTAATTAATCTATTTATATATATTAGCGACCTTTTCTATTTAGTTTAAATTTAAATAAATTAATAATATAATTTAAAAGCATAAACAAAAAATGTATTAATATTCGTAAAATTTGTTAAATTGTTAAATAATGTCAAGAGCACACACTTAAAATCAACTTCTCTCATACTTACTTTAACTGAGGTAAATATTGAACAAATTTTAATTATTCAATTTGTCCAAATTTGTGGCCTACTTCATTTGGTTTAAAATAATTATTTATATAATATTCTTGTCATTATAAATAATGTATTTATTCTCAGAACCCCACATTTAAGAATATTTAAAATTTTCTGTTCAATCACTTGATATATATTATATTTACTTACGTATCTCCCATTTATTTTAAATGAACCATATATTGATTAAATATTAATTAATTTATTTATTACATGGCATTATAAATAATGTTATAAGCCTCAAGAACTCGCCTTAAAATATTTCCTCTTAAACGAGCCCTAATATGTGGCCTCTATTCTGCCAACTACTTTAAATTAGGATAGAAGACCCCCCTGGCGTGTATTAACTGACCTGTGTAAACTTTGCTCGGACAGTGTATTTTGTTGTTGTTATGCCTCATGTGGGGAATGTGTTAAACAACCCTTGGCGGGTGACCTCTGGTACTCCATTTGTTATTGTTGCTGAGAGGCTTCGACGCGCTGCGTCTTCGATTTGGACATTGATTGCATACAGAGTTGATGGAAATGCCGACACTCGGTGAGGGGTACGTACTCAAGCGGGGAAAGGGTAGCGGGTGATAACATGTTGTTATCCCGACGGGTGGCGGCAGCCCATCCACCGGGAAATTGAATGTGGGGCGTGTGTAAAATTGATAACTTTGTTTGTGTAAACAGCGTCGCGACAGTCAACCAGCCCCAGTCCCCAGTACTCAGTCCCCAACCCCCAACAGTCGTATTCCCACCCCCCAAGCTGAACCGACAAATTTTGCTCGACATGATGTATGTGTGCGTTACGTGTGCGTGTTTATCGCGTATACGTAACGTTGGCTCTGGGTACACACACTTGCACACACACACGAACGCACACATGCGAATTATCGGTGTCAATTTTTATGCTGCTACGTGTGCGAAATTTAAGGGAGAGCAGCTGATGATGAGTGGACGCACACGCCATGGTCTACCTTTTGCGAAAAGAATGCAGCAGCAACAACAACAACAAGAACAACAACAGCCTGAACAACAACAGCCTGAACAACAACAACCTGAACAACAACAACAACAACCAGCAGCAGCAACAACGAAATAGCACATAAAACGATGTCGCCCAATTTGGCATTACATTTTGGTCCATTGTTGTCGACATTGAGTCGATAACGAAATGAATCCAAAAGCAAAACAGAAAGCAAAGCGCATAGAGAGCGCGAGCGAGAGAGAGGAAACGAAAAAAATAAACAAAAATAACAATAAAAAAAAACCAACAACAAAACTAACGGCAAACAAGTTAAAGTGCTCTAGTCGAGCCTGCTCGACGCAATGTTATCCTGTAACTTGATGAGAGTTGGGCGATTGTTTGCTATCGTCAAAAAACCAAAGTCGAAAATCGATAAATGTCGATCATGGGTAGTTTGACGAAAGGAGCAAGAAAGGAAAACTTTTCCAAGAAATGAGAAACCAAAATGTGAAAGTTTTCTTGAGAAGCTATATAAAAACTTCTGAAATCAAATAATACTTTGAAGGCTCCAAAAATATAATAAAAAGTTTATAAATATCAAAAATGTCCGCCTCAGCCAGTTACATAGCTTCGTATACAGCTGTAATTACGCTCTCTGAACTACTCTCATATTTTACAGGGCATAACGCCATCAAGAGTCTAAAGAGACAGTGTGCCAAGTAGTGGCTGTTGCGTAAAGCACAGGAAATCCAGGAGCGAGTCCTTGTTGCTCGTCCAGGATTCAGGAGTACGCTTAAAGCTTTGCACAACTGTTCATCAGAATTACAAATTGTATTCGATTTCCGGTATTTGTGACGCTTGAGCTAACAATCGAAGCCAACAGCCAAACAGGGTGCGGGGATTTTTATTTATTTTTTTTTTGTTCGGTGGGTTGGCTAACCCAACTAGTCACGCCCCCCGCCCAATCCGCCCGCCCTGCCATGCCCGCGCATACAATTTAAATGCCATATAAAGTTTTATGCATATTGTGCACTTGTTGTTCTTTTTGCTGCTCTTGTTGTTTTTGCTATTGTTGTTGTTGTTGATTTGTGCGTTCGTTTTACAAGTTGAGACAAAGACAAAGCCGGGAAAATGCGAACCATTGGAGCTGCTCAGTTGTCAAAAATGTTTGATTCGATTAGACCGATTGATTTGTATTAACATAGAAAACGCATTGATTTCCCTCACTTGAGCAGCTACCGAGCTCGGCAGGGGGAGGGTTTTAGATATTATCCCACTTTAATAGTTCTTTGAGCTGCCGACGCATTTGACGCATTTTTTATAGTTTCCAATCTGCAAATAACTCGAATGCCAATAACAAACCCCTTTACGTCCAAATGGTAAACAAATCGCAAGGTGCTCATGTGCATAATAATACGCAGCGGGGCAAAGAGCGCGCGAAGGGGGTTAGGTGAAAAAATAAAATATATATATATACGTAGCATCTTTTGGGTATTAGTATAAA